GCACCGCCGGGTCGGGACACAGAGCTGGCGAGCGGTGGAGCGAGCGGGGACTGTGTGTTGGGCGGCCCGCGTGGACGGAGCGGGACATTAATATAGTGTCACCGTGAGCGAGGGTGTGGTTGGCCACGGCTACAGTTGCACCTTCCACGCGCTAGTAAATGTATTTAAAATTGGATGCCGTATCTTTTGAATTACCGCTGCGGCCGGACCTTCAGCATTAAGTGGTACGATAGGGTATCGAGGGAATGAAATCGAAACCAGAATCCGAGGAATGTGTTGTACTGGGATATGACTGTTCTATACTATTGCTATGGAAAGCATGCAATTGTGTCTTCGCGCGCAATTATGAGTGTTTTTCCAAGGCAGCCGTATTTTGGTCATCACGCAACGGCAGGTTGGACACATTTAGCATTCCTATGTCAAGGGGTGATTCAAGCAAAAAATGTCTTTTTGGCAGATGAGCAATTGACCTTAACAGCCAACAGTACTCTCACAATGGCGATAAGTGCGCTTGGCTGCACACTCTGTGCATTAGCAAATGTGTTTCAAATTGGACGCCGTATCTTTAGAGATCGCAGTGGCAGCCGACACGACAACATTGAGTAGCATGCCGCCGGAGGGGGGGGGGGGGGGGGTCGAACAACTAAATCCGAACCCAGAATCTGACGGGTGTGTCATATTGGTAGCCCATAGCCCAACACCAGCGTTATATAATGCACACAGTCGCGCTCTTCGCGAACGATTTTAAGCAACCTCCCCGGGCTGCCGTATTCTGGCTACCAAGCTACGGGCAATATGGCTGCAGTTAGCAATACACCGTTATGGGATGATGTGAACAAAAAAGGTTATGTCTGCCGATAAGGAAATTGTGGTGCCGGTCGAGAATGCTCCCACGAATGCATCGTGTGCGTATGGCTGACACTCAGCGCACGAGTAAAAGTTTTATATTGATTATGGTATCTTTCTAAATCACCGCTGCTGCCGACCCGGCAGCATTTATTTTCGCGATGTGCTTTCAGTGGTCGAATAAAATAGACTCCTTGATCGGAGGCATGTGTTGTACTGGTAGATGATAGCCTATACCAGCACTATCGAACGCATACAGACGCACCCTGCGGGGGAATTTACGTATTTTTCCAGCGCCGACCTATTCCAGACACCGCGCTACGGGCAGGCCGGGTGCAGCACGCATTGCGATGCCAAGGAGGATTGGACAAGGAAGCTTATGTAGGCCGATAAGCGATTAACATTCAAAGCCCGCTGCGGCTCGCCAGCATTGAGCGATACGCCGTCGGGAAGTCGACAAAATAAAACTGAAGGCGGAGCCTGACGGGTGTGTTGTGCTGGTAGCTCACAGCTCTATACCAGCGCTATCCAACGCATACAGCCGCGCTCTTCGGGATGCATTATAAGTAATTTTCCGGCCCGTCGTTGTCTTGCCATCCGGTACGATTATTCCGGCTGCAGTTAACAGTGCGCCGTCGAGGGGTGATGTGGACAAATTTCGGCCGGTTAGTACTTCCACTGCCGGCCTATAGTGCTCCCAAAATAGCATTGTGTATATATCTCATCGTCGGACATGATATTTCCTAATCACCTCTTGACGGCACATACTTAACTTTGGCTGGCCCGCCATTATTTTGGTGGCCAGAATATGTCGACCGGGGGAATTCTTATAATTGACAATTATAATCTTTTTTATGTTATTATAATTAATTACATTTATTATAAATCATATTCTTGGTATATTAGACAACTGTCAGTCTTATAATTGACAATTATTTATTATGTTTGTTATCAATTATTAAAATTATTTCAAAGGGGTTATTACAAGAAGCTCATGTCGGGTGGTGAGCAATTTACATTACCGGCCGATAGTGGTCCCACAATGGCATCATGTGCGCAAGGCTGCGACCCATGCACTCCAGAAAATGTGTTGTAATAAGAAGCCGAATATTTGGAGGCCTCTGCGTCCTTCATGCCAGCATGGCTTTGTCCCTGCTTGGGAAATGGGCCCTCAGGTCCATATCACAACGGAGCCGACTGTGCGTTACTGATGGTGCTTGAGAACCTGAAGCCCCTAGGGACTTAGGGATTCTTGGCCAGAAAATCGAAGGTCCCATCAGGTGAATGTTTTTTTTTTTTTTGTCAAATGATGAATGGCGAATCCAGAATGGCGACATATAAAAAGTCGGCGCGGCGAAAGGCTGAAACGGCTAAATGGTGAACTGCAAAAAGGCGACATTGAAAAAGTTGACATGCCAAGTTGGCAAACAGCTTAATGGCGAACTGCAAAGATGTGACCTAGCAAAACACTGATATACGAACGAACGGTGATCGGCAGAATGGCGAAATACAAAAGAATATTTGTATAATTATTTGTATTGAAAAAATCTAAATTTGGTCCAGGTAAATGGTGACTTGAAAAACGTGGATATATCAAAATAGTGGATTGCTGACTGTGTGTTGTGTGCTGTGTATTTATTGTATTTTATTTGAAAGACCGTCTTTTAGGAAAGCGCTGCTCTGTTGGCGATACGAGGAAATGAAAAAATAGATAAATGAATCAACATCAAGACAAGTAAGCTCTACAACCAAACAAGCGCTCATGGATGACAGGCGTCAGCTAATCGCCTTAGCTAATGGCTGTTACGGCAGAAAGAAAGAAACGGGACCGTTTTTGGGCAGAGAGCCACTCTGGACAAAACCGTCAAAAACGATCAAATACGAACAGGGGCATATTTGCGTAACATATGTTGTTGGGGGGACGGTGGCAAACTATGAAACCTGCCACAAAAATTTCGTTACCAGGGTTTTTCCGGATTAAGTCTACTTTTCTCCCAAAGTTGGGAGGGGTTGGGGCCTCAAAACTTAATAGGGAATTATCCCCGTATATAAATTTATCATTCCATGCTCACACTTATGCCCTTTTTAAGAGTTGAAGTCCTGTCGTTTCTGACCTGGGAGTACGCGAACTCGCACAGGCTATTTTCCGCCGCCCATTTCGAAATAATCTACATATGATGCCATGGAAACTTAACATAATTCCGCTTCCTTAATGGTCATTTGGTGTTCAAGGTCAAGAAAAATGAGGCCATGGATTTTTTTCGTGTCTGGAGTACGTCAGCGTGTATCGTGCATCAACGAACAGTGGTTAGCTTGCAACGAGCTGGAAGCGTTTAATGAAAGTTTTGAGCACGAAGCATGGTTTGTTATACAATATTCGGACATATGGCAACTGTCATAAAAGATGGAATAGGAATTAGCCATTCCATAAAGCGTTGGAGAACCGCGCCTTTTGTTGTTCCCACTTGAGCTTATCGTTCTTCATTTTGTCATTTGGCTTTTCAATGTTTTAGCATGTCGCCATTATGCCTTCTCACCATTTGTCCAAACACGATTCGTGGGCAGTTCAACGGCATTGAAACGATCGCCAATTTTGCACATTTACCTTTTAACATGCCATCATTTTGCAATGCGCCATTTAGCCGTTTGTCATTTCGGCACGTCGACTCGTTGGTATGTCGCCATTTTGCGATTCGTCATTTAGCAGTTCGATGTTCCGGAATGTCGCCATTCTTCCCTGCCGCCACTTTGCAGTTCACCATTCTGCCGGTTCGACTCTTTAGTATGTCGACATTTTTCCTGTCGCCTATATGGAAGTCGTCATATAGCCGCCGACACAAAGGCGTTCGGCAAACTGCAAGTCGGCTTCTTGTCCTGGCGTCGGACTGAGGGCCCTTGATCAGTGCGCAAGGCCCCTGAATATGACCTTCGGTCCGCCTTTCGGTCGTACACAGTACAGGCTCTCAAACTGGCCCCTTAATCGTAGACCACGAGACACCCTTAGGGTCCTTCGGAACCCAAGGGAGCACGTGCCCCCTGTGCCCCCCCCCCCCCCCCGCTCTGCCTGTGCTACTGGCAAGGACATGAGATCTAAAGGGCTCGTGGGAGGTAGCTCACCAGACTTTCCGAAAATTTAGAACTGGCCCCACGGCCTTTGACTAGAATGAACTAACCAGAATGGCAGTCGGCCCTCCGACGTGTGAGTAATACTCTGTTGCCCCTGGACCAAGGTGATCCATTTCGTTTTTTCAAGCTGAGCGATTCATGGTTCTGGTTTGAACCATCGAACAAACCGGTATATGCGCTGAAAGACGCTCCGTGTCGGCTGTCGATTTGTATTATTTTGTGAGGGCCCTCCCCCCAATGTTAAGTTGCCCCCCCCCCATTGTTGGTTTCCCCCCTACAATGTTTTAAGCTGGAATACTACAAAAAAGTGGGTAACAGATGATCATAACCCAAAGCCTATTTTCTTTTTTATCTTTCTGCGTAGTGGCGCATTGTACCACTCCCATAACAAAAAGTCATGGTTGCTCTCACCACAAGATACAAATCATAACAGCTGAGCGATGCAAATCGAACGATGCAATAACCTTCACATACCTAGCGCCATAAGACACGCAATGGCCTGTGGAGTTAAGGTGAAAAGCTCTAGAATATGGGGATGGTCAAAGTCCTTCACGGCTAACCCCGTCCCCGTCCTCCACAACCAAAATGCGTGCCGCCTCCCGTGACCGCCATAGAAGAGCGCCACGGTGAGAAAAGGGGGGATACGTTTTTGGGCCTTCGGTCCGGCCCCTCAATTATCTACAAAAATCGACACCACTGGTCAACGACGTTTTCATAAGCAGGTACTGCGGTTCTGAGCCATCGCTGTCAAGGCCACCTAGCGGTGACAAATTCTTTAGGTAAGTGTAATTTAAAAGCTTCTTGGGAACGTTAATACCTTTCAAAGTGACGCCTTTGAGATGATTGCGGCTGGCGCGCCCGAACGTTGCACGGTTGGCAAGGATATGCACCCCCAGGCTGCACGCGTGTGGAGGACGGGGCATATTAGAGTATTGCTTGCGCGTCAGTACTTGTTAAGGCCCCGAGTTGTTGTGGTGGCACGCGCGGGCTGTCATTGCTGGTTGTGAAGGATTTCTTTAGACGTCCAAAAAAGCACTAAACAAAATACGGTATGTGAAGCATTTCATTCTTCATTTCATGACCCCTAACTTTGGCATGTTCTTTTTGTAGTGCGAGGTGTTGTGTTAACCATTGAGGTAAAGCTGTGTATTGCTATTATTTTGCTGACACATCATAAGTTGATGTCTTCACTCTCATCAATGTAGCATCATATCAGACAAACATGGATAGTTGTTTGTTTGTGGCATAAACAACAGCCAGCAGTATAATTAATCAGCACAATGCACACATTTAAGTACACAAGCTTCAAGTCAAACACATGAGTCATCATCATCAGGTTTTCTTCATGCTGCAAGAACACATTGTACTTTAGTTAACAATTCCAAGGCATAAGGTAACAATGATTTTAAAAAGGGTCATATTTAGGATTTCTTGTAATTTTATCTACAAAACATACTGATGGTAACAATGGCAGATTTTGATCTGTAATGCTGTTGGCATGATACTCATTTATCTGGGCCATCCCAATGGATCAAGGTGGCATGTGTGTTCAGTTTTCACTTCCTTTTGGGTGCTGACTTTTATGGATTTAAGTAGCTAAATATGATGTCACAATATGATAGAAATGTTATGATGCAGCAATATGATATTGCACTTCTCATTAATTTATATCTATATCTTGAGCAATATTTCATGTTTCCTGCTGTGATGCTGCTCAAATAAAGCAATCATCAGTACATGAAATCATCAAAAAAGAATCTTGTCATTTCTTGTCGTAAGGTGGGATCAAGTGATGAGATACATATTTGGGGAATCAGCTTATTGGTTTCTCAGCTCTGGCCTCCCAAATCATTGATATGAGTAAATGCACCTGTGATGCACATGACTGACATTTGGTGTCCTACACTTTTAGCTGAGGCTGCCTAAAATTTATATGAAACAATAACCTGTTTCTGTTTGCATTATAATTTGAACATTTTTGGATAATATGATAAAATCTGAATATTTTCCAGGCATCAACTGCTCTGTGTGCTGTTGTATTTGTGCTTGGTCTGTATTTTGTAAACTTAGCTAGGAATGCCAAGTTATGTACCCATGCTTGTTTGGTAAATTTTTCAGACGTATTGGCTTTGGTGTATGCTGCAAATCAAATTTACTATCATATGCAAGTAAAAAAGCTTGACAGTCATTACAAAAATGAGCCATCAAATCAGAAAAAGGCATTTCTCTTTATTTGCTCTGGCTTTTGTGATGCTCACTTTGCCAGCAGCTCAGTAGGGTCACCACCCACACATTAGTGTGGTCAGTGGTATAATGATACTCTGTTGGGATGTGACACACCTTCCCTAAGGAAAATTTGTGATATTGCCTCTGCATGCAGCATTTCCTTAACATCCTACTCTAGATGTGCAGCAGTGTATAGCAATAAACAATGCAAACCAAATATGGAAATAAACAAAGCTTCCCCAATCCAGGCATCTAACACTGTGCCGGTTCTGACCTTCAGCTCTGACCTTCTGACCTGACCTTCTGACCTGACCTTCAACACTGGTGGTGAGCCACGACCGTGACCGCCTCTCTCTCGCCAGCGCCGCGATGCCGGCCGGCGCCGCCGCCGGTGGCGACACCTCGCGGCCGGCGCACCGCCTGGCGGCCAAGGAGCGCACGGCGGACGTGCGTGTCTCGGAGGACGTGACGTTCGCCGGCCTGCTGCTGTCGGAGCCAGTGCTGCTCGGTCTGCAGCAGGCTGGCTTCGAGCGGCCGTCGCCCATCCAGCTGCGCGCCATCCCGCTCGGTCGCTGCGGCGTCGGTTAGTGTCGGGATGATGGGGGGGGGGGGGGGGAGGGCGACTTCGAGCGGGCCGTCTCCCATTCAGCTGCGCGCCATCCCGCTCGGTCGTTGCGGCGTCGGTTAGTGGCGGGAGGGGGGAGTGCGGCCGGCTGGGAGGTCAGCATGGGAGAGTGGAAAGTCTGCACCTGGCAGAGGTGATGTTATAAAGGGCTGAAGCACCGACTTGGAGTGCGCGATGGCGGTGGGGTGTGATGTGGACGAATGGGAGAGGAGAGGGGTGTTGTAAGATTATATATTGTTGGCAGGGCAGAATTGTTCGTAAATGCAGCGTCCTTTTATGACATGAAAACAGGCTATCTGTGCTGTGTGAGCAACATTAACATGCCATCACAACCCTGTGTATGCTACAACTTTGCAGTGTGCAGTACAACCGCGCGATACAGCTGTTACCCACTGACATCGAACCGGTTGTTTATGATAAGAAGGTCACAAGTTAATGGGTGTACAAGTCTGAGTTAATTTGGGTTGTTTTTTGTTACTTAAATTGACTTTTTGTGCACATGATCATTACCACAATATACTTTCTGTGTTTGATTAGTTCACTCAGCATGGTCTAGTGCTGCGCAACCTGAATCATTGCCCTCTGAGCTGACAAGCATTCGCCCACCACCTGAAGTCCATGTGCCCCGTATTCTTTGGGACGGTCTGCTCTAGCCTGGCAGCATCACACATTGCAAGTAATGTTTTGGTGTAATGTGTACTTTTGAATGTGAGAGCCTGCGCTCATGCGTTGCCTTTGTTGTCTTTATTACACCCCGGGGGGTCGCGGCGTCTGACACTGCCCCGCCCCCTGCCCCTCCCGACGCCGCAGATCTGATCGTGCAGGCCAAGTCGGGCACGGGCAAGACGTGCGTGCTGGCGGTGCTGGCGCTGGAGCTGCTGGCGGCGGCGGCGCCGTCCGGCCGCTGCCAGGCGCTGGTGCTGGCGCCCACGCGCGAGGTGGCCGTCCAGGTGGCTCAGGTTGTGGCTGCCATCGGGTCGCACGTGCCGGGTAGGTGGCGCCACTGGCGCACCGCAGCTCGGCCGCGCTGGGTTATGCGAGTTCCCTGAGGGGCTGGCTGTGGCGAAAAAGCCCGCGAGCTGACCCACGGGGGGGGGGGGGAGGAAGCTGCAATTTGAAGGTTGGAAGGCAGCTGCTCTGTGTGGTGTTAATTATGTGGTATTATCTTCTTATATTGGTTTTACCACACATATCAGAGATTTTCCCTGTTGGCACTGCCGCGGTGACCAATCTGGCCGTTTTGACTCATTTACTCAGAACTTTGATGCCGGGATCGTTCCTTTTGAACCTGTGGTCGTTCTTTTTGACCCCGTGATCCTGTCGTTCTCGCCCCATGATCCCACCGTCTGGACTGTGCTGTCTTCCTGTTGCGCTCCATTGCCCTGCTGGTTTTGCTCGGCTATATCCTGGCCCTGTTTGGGCTCTCCTGCTGTTCCGACACCGTTGCACATCTGCCTTGGCTCAATTCTCGGTCGCTTTTGCTCCGTTATCTCAGCGTCCATACTCCCTCCGCGCGCCGCTCGGACCGCGTCACTCCAACGCCCTGGCGCCGGCATGTCCCGTTCCCCACGTCGCCGTGCCGCCTTTGGCAACTCGTGCGAGCTTGTAACGTCTCCGCTTCAACCGTCCCTGTGTGTGTCCAGGTCTGGCGGTCCACACGCTCATTGGCGGACTGCCGCTTGCGCAGGACGTGGCCAATCTGCGCCGCTGCCAGGTCGCCGTGGGCACACCAGGTGGGTGCAACGCTAGAGCTCGCCTACCTCCTTCCCCCTCCCCGCCCCCAGTCCCCCGACCTTGTTTGTTGGGAAGGGCGAGGCACTGGTCAGGGAGTGTTGGGACTGACACTGAGGACGTTGTGCAAAGAACAGAGCTCCGGCCGGCGCAGCAACGGTTGAAAATTTACACTGGTTTTCAACGCAATCAAGTGAGCTTCATAAGGTAGTTCGCTAAAGGCGTGTGTTTTTTTTCTTCTTCGAAAGCTGCAGGTACAGACATGCCTTACATGACTGCGTGCAGGCGTCGCATGCGAGAGTCGTACCGAGGACGTGTTTGCCTAAAACGTGGTCACTCAAATGACTAGTTTTGAACGCTGGAGGGTGCCCCTCTGGACATCTACCATCAATAAGTCCCGGCCTCTCAGGGGCTCATAGACGGGAATGATGAACCCCTCCCTCCCTACCTCCCAACCGCTGCAGGTCGCGTGCGTCAGCTGGTGGACAGCGAGGCGCTAAACACGGACGCCGTCCGCCTGTTCGTCATGGACGAGGCCGACAAGCTGATGGAGGACGCGTTCGTCGACGACATCAAGTGAGGCGCCGGCACTAGTGGAGCGGTCGCAGTGATGTCCTGCCCACGCTTGGTTGGCTCGGAGACTGGGCAACTTGGACGTGCTGGAGGCAATTATGTGTATGGTCTGTGCCTGTTATGGCACCTGTTGTTTTTGTCTGGTAGACATGCTCCTGGTCTTCTGGTGTTTTTTTGTGCATATTGGTTGTGTCGAAGTCTTTTTTTGTCACGAAATCGCGTCTGGGAAACCATCCCTCACGGCATTTTCAACTTCATTTGGCACGCCCACACTGCATTATTTGATCGGGAGAACCTCAGTCTCCGCGGCAGTCAACGCTGCCGCATTCACACTGCTGAAGTCAACTAGATCGAGCTCAGATCGGACCTACAGAAGATCAGAGGACGTCACCTGAACATCCTAACTGCACCGAGCGTTAGAGCAGGCGTTGCTCAGCGCTGGTAGTGCCCTCTCGTACGCCCCAACCACTGTATCGGTTACCAGGTTTCTGCCAGGCATGCATGGGCGATATGCCGTCGGCTCGATTTTTAAGGTATAGGACTTGCGCGTTGTTATACCTCGTACATCCCTACACCTATCTTCAATACATCCCTATTGATCCCCATCCCTATGCCTACCTATCTGGATCTGGCGACCGTCGATTCGTCAACTCGTTTCTGAGCGGTCTGATTTGCACAGAGCGAAACAGGGTCATGCGTTGCCTCGTTGCCAAAGGTGCGTGGTCCAGCTGACCAACTTGCCCCACGCTTTCAGCTTCATCTACTCCACCCTGCCAGCCAGCAAGCAGATGGTTGCTCTGAGCGCCACCTACCCGGAGACGCTGGCCGACCTGCTGGCGCGGTACATGCGCACACCGACCTTCGTCAGGTCTGTGCTCTGAGTGCTCCTGAGTTCCCGGTTGGACGGAGTCGTGGGCCATCTTTTGTCACCGCACGCACGATCCAATGTGCTGTACTGGCTGTTCATTGAGGTTTTCGACCGACATAGGTTTCAGGAACTTACTGCTGATTAGTCTCATGATTTTTAAAGTTGTCGAATGGGCAATAGTTTTGTAGTTTTTAGTGTTCGCTGAGCGCCAAGGCGACATCAGCGCTAAGGTCGGTCGAGGGTCGAAGGCAACGATGTCGTTTACGAAGGTGGTACTGGAGTTGCAGGCTATCTTGGAACTGGCAATATGTGCAATGATATTTGGTTTTGAGATGGGGGTGTTAACGTGTCATTCATTTTATCTGTAGATATCTCGTAAAACGCCCTATCTTATGAACCTTGTCGCTATTCTAGCTGGCTTCATGTCCGAATCTTCCTGTTTGATGTGTCACTGATGTCCGCCCTTCAAAACATACGAACCGTTTGGTGTGAGAAAGTCCAGACTAACCGTCGACGCTGGTTTGACAGACTCGGCAAGTCCTCATCCGCCCTGCTCGGCATCCGTCAGTACGTGCTGACCGTGCCGTACCAGCCTTTGGTGCAGAAGCAGCTGAAGCTCAAGCTGGACGCGCTGGTGCACCTGCTTTCCACCGTCAGCTTCACCCAGTGTCTCGTCTTCTCCAACCACCAGACGAGGTGAAGGGAGATGCTTCACCTGGTGTTCGTGTGGAGCCCTCGCTGACCGATCAGGGATCTGCCAACGATCTACTGCATGAGTTTGTCGGTTCACTAAGATAGCCCAAGGGCTGAGAGTAACGATTTTTTTGATGTGTGGTGCGCTCGCGCACACTGGAACTTGCCGTGGGCAGCTTCGTTTCGTGTATGTTCTTGCTGTGGGCAGCTTCGTCTCGTGTATGTTCTTGCTGTGGGCAGCTTCGTCTCGTGTATGTTCATGTATCCCTTCCATGTCTGGATACGTAGAGCGGAGTGGCCCCCACATCCCTCTCCGACAGCGCGAGTCCCATAAGGCTCTTTTGCGGCCGGAGTTTTTGTTGTTGTTGTTGTTGTTGAGTTGCGACCGGAGAGAGCGTTTTTCGTCCATGATACAGAGACCTGGCCCGTGTTAAACCTTGGCACAGTGGATACGCGTGCACCAGCATCGCCGTCATCATCACGTCCTGCGTCTCCAATCCACGCTCTTCCAACCTCGGTCCGCTGTCTCGACAGGGCGGAGACGCTGTCGACCCAGCTGACGGCGCGCGGCTGGCCGAGCACCCACCTCTCCTCGGCGCTGAGCCAGGAGCGCCGGCTGGAGGCGCTGGCCCGCCTCACCTCCCTCCGCTGCCGCGTGCTGGTCGCCACCGACCTCGGCGCGCGCGGCGTCGACAGCGAGCACGCCGACCTGGTCGTGCAGCTGGACGTGCCGTGGGACGGCGCCACGTACCTGCACCGCGTGGGCCGCGCCGGTCGGTACGGCAGTCGCGGCGCAGCCGTGGCGCTCGTGGCTGCCGGCGAGGAGGAGCGGCGGCTCGCCACCGTGGCCGAGGCGGCCGGCGTGGCGCCATTGCGGCTGCCGGAGAGCCTGCCGCACGATCTGAAGACGTGCACGACGGAGGGGATGGGCGGAGTTCGTAGTGGAGGGTGAGGAACCGGCGGCAGGCGAGGAGGCGAAGGCGAACGCGACGAAGACGAAGGTCAATGGGCACACCAGGCCGGCGGCGGGCGACGCTGCGGGAAAGTCGCCGAAGAACGCCCCCCACAGAGTCCAGTGGTGGACCTCCCGCTGACGCGCCTGACGCGGGCGGCGCCTCAGCGCACGCACCAACCCGCCCGGGCGGGCAGTCGCCAGACGAACGGAGTCCAACAGGGGGTGAGCAGGCGCCGGGGACGCGGCCGGCGCCGGAGGCGGACGAGGCGGCGCCGGCCGGGGGCGGCGGCGGACGGAAAATCCGCGTGGCGCGCCGCCGCCGCCCACCGCCGCCCGTGCCCGACCAGCGGGCGGAGGGGGCGCGCCTCGAGGCGGCGGCGGACGGCTGGGAGCGTGCGGTGGCGGGGCGGGGGCGACGGACGCCCGGCCGGCCTCCCCCACAGCCGGAGCGCGCGCCGGAGGGCGACACAGGCGCGCCGCGGCGCGACCGCGCAGTGGCGGCAGACGATGAGGTCTCACGAGAGGAGGCTGTGTGTGGGGCGGCCGGGGCCGGCGGCCAGCGGCAGTCTGAGGACCAGCTGGCGGGTGGTGATGTACCGCGACGCCGCCAGGACTGGGACACGCCGAGGCGCACGGGGCAAGCGGCCGGCGCGCGTGCGGACACGGCGGCGGACAGCGACAGCGGAGACAGCTTCTCGGCGCTGCTGGAGGCATACAAGCGAGATCAGGAGCGGCAGCGGGACGACTGGAGCTCCGGAGACGGAGATGGAGACGCGCGGGAGGGGCGGACGGGGCTGGACGGCGGTGATGGAGACGGAGACGGAGACGCTGGGGAGATGCGGGCGCACGGCGGGGCTGGAAATCAGACTGCTCCCCAGCTGGAAGGTGGGCGAGAGACACTGGATGCGAGTATAGAGGAGACGATGCACGTGGACGAGGCACGCTTGCGAGAGGTCGTGGGCAAACTACATCCGCGCAGGGTGAATTCTCTGACTGAAGAGGATCTCGCCACACTGGCTGAGTATCTGAAGTTCAAGCAGGATGTTGACGCGAAACGTTACGGAAAGATAGTCGCTTCAATGCGCAAGCGCGGTGTCGGCAAAGTGCTTTCCCGATTCGGCGATAAGGTCGAGACTACGCTTACAGACATCATGGAGAGCTTCACACTTCACATTACCGGTCCTGTCGCCGCCGTCAAAGCGACCAAGCGTGCCGCAGTGCCTCAGCACAGTAAAACCGAGTCGGAAGTAATTTCAGCTGGTCGTCAACCTGTTGTAAATGGACAAGCGGTCAGTGCTGGTGTCAGAGCTCCGTCTGCCGGTGCTGGTGCTACCTCCCTGGCCCGACCGCCCGCTGCCGCTGCTGGTGGTGCTGGCGCGGCATCCGCCGGCACTGCCACCTGTGCGTCACCAAACGCGGATGGCGCCATCTGCGCTCCGCCTTCTGTCAGCGTCGTCCGCGGTGCTATTCCTAACAACGGCAAGAATGTGAGCGGCACCACCTCCAAGGCAGGACCCGCGGTAGGTGGCGCCACCGGCGACGCCGATGCAGAGATCCGTCAGCTGGCGACCACGGAGGAGGAGGCGGCCTCATTCCAGCGCCAGCTGCGCCGCCAGGTGGCCGAAGAGCGGCTGGCGCGCGCCGCCGCCCGCCAGAGCCCGCGCCCCGACTCGTCGAGCGGCGAGGTGTCGGACGACGAAGCCGAGGACGAGGACGAGGGCGAGGACGAGGAGGCTGGGGCTGTTCAGGGAACCGACGTGCCCCACGAGGGCGGAGCGGGTGACGCCTGGCGGGGTGAGGAGTGGGGGCCCGGCACGGGTCCGCCGCCGTGGGCCCCGGGCGGACCCCCACCGTGGGCCGGCGGCCCCCCGTCGGCCGGCGCGGGGCACCCGGGGAGCTGGGCCGGTGCGGGAGCGGGAGACTGGACGGGGCCGGGTCCCGCGAGCGGTGCGGGTCAATCACCTCCCTGGGCTGGGTACGGACCGCCAGGGAGCGGGTACCCGGATCCGAGGAGCGCTTATGTCGCTCAGGGACACGCGGCGTATCCGAACCCGTGGTCGGGTCATGGCCATTGGAGTCGGGGTGAGTACGCGAACCCCTGGGCGTGGCGTCGTCCTCCAGGGCCGGATGAAGACCAGTATTCGTGGGATGCGCACCATCCGGCATGGCACGCGTCGTATCCGAGGCCCTGGACTAGCCGTGGACCTGCGAGTCGTGCTCACTTCTGGAGCTACTCAACTGGATGTAACTCTTCGTACCCTGAGTATCAGCACGGTTGGGGCGGGCCTGGTGCCGCGTCGGACAGGGGATACCCTGCGCAGCGCGACGACATCTCGTGGGAGGCTCTCCTGAGGACGTGTTATGAGCGTCAGACCAGGTACATCAAGCACATGTCGCGGTTCTTCATGGACTACCACGGACGGCAGGGATAGGAAGTGAATGACATCCTCGTGGACATGTGCTGACGTCATGTTTGTGACAGCAATGTGATAATTTCAAGAGGATGCATTTTTGGATAAAATGAGTTTGCGCTTCCGAAGCAGACCAATCGGAATTGTCGCCAAATCCGGGAACGACTTTCAAATTGTGACGGAAACCCTTCATCCGCCATAGCGGTGCGTGTTTGGTTTAAACGCGGTGTTTGGCTCATCGTACGCAGCAGGTGTGCCGTGCGGGTATCCGCCCCAACCCCGGGTGTGTTCAGAGATTTAAGCTACTGATGTGTCGGGGATGCACAGCGCTGCCGCGTGTGGTTCGGAGGCCGCCACTGCCATTGTCTCACCCGGGGGAACATTTTGGGTGACAGACTATGGTGAAGCCGTCTTCGACGCGCATGCGTCGTCTGAACCCACAGACTGACTTACAGGGCTTTTATCTCCGAGAAGTATTACTTGGGCTGGCTGTGTCTTTTTACACTGGGCTCTTCACAACAAATAACAAGAAAGGCAGATTTTCAACCCGGGCCATAACATGTGAGATTTCTCTGTTAAACTTAATCAGCACATAGCCATGCGAACAGAAACTTATCAAATCTATGAAACGGTTAACGCCCCCTTTTCGGGGTGCAAGGGGCTGATGCAGGTTGATATTCAACTACACCATAAACTTGTCGCTTCGCTGCACCCAGAGGTATTACCACAGTGCTTTGATGACACTCATAACTAAATACGGCTTTGTAAGCAAATACGTGTTCTTTTGCAGTGGTAGATCATCGTATGACATTTGTGACTGAAGATATTGCACCTCCTCATCTAGTTCACTTATATGATCTATTGTTTTGATAATGTAATTGTCATATGTAATGCAATCCGCTCGTGTAATTTATTGTACTTCTGACCTAATTCATATTCTATCTCGCCAAGTCACCCGCAGTCCGACCTCTGCAATTACATCCCTGGCTATCACCCTCTGACTAATAACTGCCAATCGGATGGGCGCCGCCGAGGTTTCAGACGGGGTTTCGTCGATGCCGTCGCGTCGCGGCGTTGCTCTTGTTCGGCGCGGCGTGGCGGGACCGTTCGCTCGTTTTCCGTTGGAGCCAGCGGTTGCCGCGGCTGTCTCGTGAATGCCTTAAGACTGTTGGCGGCGAGTCCAAGTCCGCTACGGTCCCGCCCCGGCGACAGAAAGTCTCCGTCAATCGACGGAGACTTTCAGCGCGCTAGCAGGCGGGCGGGTCGCTGCATTGCGGCGCAGCAGTATGGTGCATTAGTGCCAGACCGGAAGTGAGGCACTTCCGGTGGATCCGCTTGCATCACGTCCGTTGTTCCGTTGTCTCTTTGCATCAGCTTGTGTGGCAGTACCGGGGTGGTTTGTCAAGGTCCAATGCTGGCGTCTGGCGCCCGTCTCGCCATCGATGTTCGCTGTCAGGCGCTGTACTGGATTTCTAGAGGCATTTGGCTGGACACGGGTAAACCTTTTAGGCTGTCGTGCTGGAAAGTAGTCTGAGCAAGTTCCGTCTTTCATGGCATCGAGTAAAATGCTGCGTGAGTGGGGACGACGCGAATGGCTGCGTCTTGACGCCAGCGCGCCGAGTTTGCTCGCAACGTAGGGGACAAGAGAAATAATTTGCTTTAAACATTTGGAGGCCGTTTGGTTATCGAGGCGGGAGCCTGACAAGACCGGACCGACAGGCCTAGTGGCCTTTTATGATTCCCGATCACCATAAGGTGAGGTGAGGTAAGATAAGGTAGAAACAGGATCGTGACCGCGCTCTTTCCTGGGGCGTTGTGGCAAAGTGTGCGTAGAAAAATACTATATCCCTTCTCTGAGCTGCTTCACGCCTGGTCATCTACAGAATACATTGGCTTCAGGCTTGATGAAGTGCAAAAATACTAAATAGGCCCAAGTAGTGTCACTATTTTTTTGGATGGCAATCCTTCGCCAGGTGACTAACTTAGTTTAGTCAGTTAACCGACGAGGGATTGGTCACCCGGTGAAGAATTGTCATGTGAAATAGAGTATACTATTTGGGGCTTATTTGGTATATTTTTCACTGTATTCGGGGTCACATCGCGGTGGACTACCCCCACACACAACGGCGAACTGCCGCACGCAACGCCGACAGGGAGACTCCCTACGCGCCCCGAGCAGCACCTCTTATACTCCTTCCAAGCCCACCCGCAACCCGATCGGCGTGTGACTCGCCGGCGCCACCGCGTCCCACTCCACCGCGTCCACGGGCCAACGCCTCTCGCCCCCTTAGCCGTGACCGTTTCCCTGCGTTAACACTGTCCTGGGGCATGATCTGTTGCCATACATGGTCCACCGCTACACTCACCCCTGATCTTCAAAGACCATACTCTCACACCAACGTTCATACTATCCAATCACTCGATACACTCTGTCCATAAAGTTTGCGCGGCTGTCGGCGCACACGCTGGCTGCGTCGCGACGGCATGGTCGCGACTTCTTCCGCCGGCTGCTCAGGGCAGGTCAGGATGCCCACCGGTTCCGTCCCAGTCGCCGTCGGTGCGTGCTCCGCGTTGTCCGGGTTTGTCAGCGACTGCGCCAGAGGCCTCCTGGTGTGACGGGTCCGCGGATATAGGGGTCCGTCCTCCTTGTCACTGGCGTCGCGTCGTGATGCATCGCTGTACCGAGGCCGCAGGTCCCGCACTTGCCATGGTACGCCATCCACTTCGGCCGCTTGCGATGACACGATATTTATCATATTACATATCGGCAGCGGACATGTCTGAACGCAGCACCCGAACAACAGCAAGCCCGTCCCAGATAAACTGACGTCAGCTGCACATCACGAATAGGAAAATACTCACGAAACCAGTTTGTGCGTGGAATTGGAATCGCGTGGAAAAACCCGGTCAACGCGAGGTTCCGTGGCACGACTGATGCACATGCCCTTAGTACATATCACATACCAAACGCGGCCATCGAAGATCTCCTGTCAATCATCGTTAATGGCCTCTTACAATCGCTTTCACGCAACGGGTATTACGGTAACACACCACTATTCACCGCATTTTGCATTCGATCGCAAGGATTAAGCCCATACCTTTACAGACGCATGCTCCAACGTGCTTGCACTCGGTGGGCTTGGACATTGTGCTGTACACCTGGCTGCTTTCCACATGCAACTGAGGGGCTCAGAGGGCTCGAGGAATTATGTGCGCTGATAACCTAACATAGACTGCCAGTAACTACCTTCAGCAGCACAACAACTGGGCTCGTCCGGGATTTGAACCCGGGGCCTCTCGCACCCTAAGCGAGAATCATACCCCTAGACCAACGAGCCGATAGCGCATGCTCAATTCTTCAAATTCTGGCCTGTGCCGTAACTTTCACTTCGTACTTTGGGCGGCCCAGAGCACACTGGCCAACATTCACTATGGTCTAACAAGCTCGTGACGTCGAGCATGGGGAGTAACCAAGGAGTGCCCCCGGCATATGTCCGGCTTATGTACATGTTAAGCTAGCGATTCATACAGCGATTTATTCAGCGACTGGTTCCGAATTCTCTGAAAAACGTCCTCAAAGAGCAATTATAGCACGAGAACATCGGAAATACCTTTATGGTTGCAATATCAAGTAACCTTAGAGGTCAAAAGCTGCGTCAAAGTAAGAGAACTCGATATCACCAGCAATTTATCGGCCGATTTGCAGGCTGCAAGCATCAACATATTCACAAGCGCAAGAGCACGTCCGTCGAAAGGCACTGACAACTCAAAATCACCCTTCAAGCTCAACCGTGGACTCAAAGGACGGCAAATTCCATATTACCCCAAAATTACCAGCCCATTTTTAACTTGCAAACATCAGAATATTGACCAACGAAAAAACTAGCGTCTGTCAAAAAGTCCAGAATTTTCAAGGTCATCCTTCAAGGCTAAACGTGGGCTAAATGGACGGGAAACTCAATATTACCCATAAGTTACCGGCCGATTTTAAACTTGCCAATGTCAGAATATTCATCACAAGAAGAATTAGCGTCCATCAAAAAGTTCTGACCTTTCAAGGCACCGTTTATGGTCAAACGTAGACTCAAAAGGCTGAAAACTCAATATCACCCCAAAATTACCGGAATATTTTAAACTACCCAATATCAGAATAATCACCACAGAAAGGACTACCGTCCGTCTACCGTCTACCGTCCGTCCGACTACCTACCGTCCTTAAAAAGTCCTGATTCCTGAAGGTCAAACTCGGGCTCAAAGGACAGGCAGTCCAAATCAACCAAAAACTACCGACCAATTTTAAACTTACAAACATTACAATATTCAGCATGAAAAACTAGCTTTTGTTCAAAGGTCCTGGCCTCTCAAAGCCACCGTTCAAGGTCA